AGGGGTATGAATACTTTTGCAAACCACTGTATTTACTGGGAAAAGTTCAAGGGGTATGAATACTTTTGCAAACCACTATATTTACTGAGAAAAATGTTGACGTGTTCAATACTTATTTTACCTGCTGTATATACTGTATATAAATTTTAATCTATACTTATATTAATGAGGATAATCTCATTCATGTAAATAGCACAGTATATTTCAGGTGTCTAATTTTACGGTAACTTCAGTATACCTGCTGTTCATCAGCTGAATGTGTGACAGCAGGTAAYTGAGATCTGAACAATCAGTATATTTTATTGCCATGTGTTGAACTAAAAACCCRTTTGAGATCAGATCTGCCAGGACTCATGTTAGTGCAGGTCTTTGTGTATCTTGTAGAATATTTAATGGTCCTTACCTTACAAACTGACATGACCATAAAAAACAAAACATAATAAAAGGTGCATTTGAGGTTGGTACAAAAAAAAGTAACTAATCATTCTCACTTTCATGACTTTACTACGCCAGATAGAATTAATACAACTGGACGTTTTTATTAATKAATTCAAAAAAAATGTGCCTGGATACAAATTCATCATAAAAATTTCAGGTCAAAGATTGGTGGTATGCAGCTCTCCTGTGTAAAATATACAGTCCACAAGTACAAAGTCTTAGAAACCAGGTTCAGAAACCGTGGCTCAGTCCAGAGAAATGATCTCTGATATGTTGCTGTCAGTTCCTCGTCCTCCGGTGATGACCTGCGTCTCGTGGATCGAACTGGCAGAGTGGCTGTTGGCATCATAGTGGCTGCTGGAAGAAAGAGAAGCAGAGCTTGTGCTGGCTGCAGCAGAAGTTTGAATGTGTCCCGGAAGAGTGTCCAAAAACATCTGAGGTCTGTAGTGCTGTGGAGGAAAAACAAAGCAGACCAATGATTCACGAAGAAAAAAACCTCTGATCCATGTGAGTCTACTGTCAATTCTGAAACCTCTGTACCGTCCACTGCCTGCATGAATGCTCTGTCTGATCATGTGATCCTACATTCTTTGCTAATTTTGGTTTGGTTTTAATTTGACATGTACCTTTACCTTAAGTGCACAACAAGAGGAATTGTTTTCAATTTCATTGTTCCTGTGTGTAATAATAAAGGCATTCATTTAATAGACGTGGCCAAATGTTTTGAATATCAAACAAGTATTGATTTTCATCAAGTCTGCTGCTTTATTGTTTATCTTTTTATTTTAAATGTTTCCATGGAAAACTGAAATACAATTACAAACATTTCATAAATTTTACAAGCTTTTTATTGACAATTATTTTAGTTATAAGCAAATTCAACCTGGAAAGACTCACACAAAGAAATATGGAGAAAGTTCTTTGGTGCTCGAGCCCCAGCAGAAGACGTGGGTGCAGGGAACAGCTGAGCTAGCAATTTACCGAACAGACCGCCTCTGAATTATCTGGTGGATTAATTATCTTGTGAACATGACGTTCGCTTGCTCAAAGT